TCTGTTGACATACATGAAAAAGCCTTTTTTATTGTCTGACACAACAGTAGCCATTGTCGCCTCAAGCTAGGGTTTGGCTTTCTTGTCTCCTCCCTTCAGATGGGAATGGTGGCTCTGTACTCTCCCTTTGAATCCTGACCTTGCCTCCAGATGTCATAAATTTTCTTTCTCTGCTTTAGTTCCAAGAAGAGCTTCCTGTTCATCCACTCTGATCTTCTGTCCTGCTTGCCTGACTTGCAACACAACGGGATTGTCTGCTTCTGGCTGTAAAAAGGTAGTTTTGAAGAAGTGAGCAGCTCTCATGGACCCCTAAACCTTCTAGAGCAGATTCCAAAGGGATGTTGCAAACTGACTCCCTTAGAAACTCCCACTACCCTTGCTATCCTCAGATGGTGTTATACAATCCTTTGGCGTAACCCTTGTTCATAAGAGATTTCCCCTTTCCCATAGATTCTATCCTCTCAAACAGTCTTACTAGGTTACAGGCCCAGAAATATTTCCCCCATCAAGATAGATAAGTCCCATCAGGCCACCCTTCATTTTAAAGGCTCTACCATGGCTGTAAAGCCCAAAATTCTGGTGAAGTCACCAGTCCCCAGAGCTAGACATAGCGTAGGACAACTGAGGAAAATACTACCTGTGCTACTGAGTCCTTCAGCTGTCTCCACAGAACTGCTAAATCTCTGTTAAGTGACCTCAGGCTTCCTGTTGCTACATTATTGGAAACACTTGAAAGAGGAGTAGGCAGTTCTCCACAGACTACATTACATGCAAAAGTTTATTAGAAACATATCTGATTTGAGCCACATGGAGGAAGCAACCTTCTCTGTGAAGAGGGTGTGGCATACAGATAGGAACCTCCATTCCCTTCAAGAGGGACAAGAGTCAATTTTCTTCAGGGTAGCTGGTGTGGTGATGTGTTTTCTACTTAGGATGGAAATGAGGTTGATTACACACCAGTGTTTTAGTTGATGCTGAGCAGCGCTTACACTGATTCTTTTATGCTTGTTATGTTGTTCTGCCAGTGTGAAGGCTGAGGAGGCTCAGGAAGTTTAGAAGGGACACAGGCAGAACAACTGACCAAACCTGCCCAAATAAATATTGCATACCATATGATGTTACGCTCAGCAATAGGAATGGGGCAATTAGCTGCAGATGTTGCTCAGGTTGAGCATTGGTGACCTAGGGGTGAGCAACTCTGTTGTGCTTCACTTGTATGTTGATTTTTCTTTTTTTTTCTTTCTTTTTTTTTTTTTTTTTTTCTTGCTTGTTTAATTTCTTTAATTATTATTAATTATTATTATTAATCTGTTCTTTAGTCAGCTTTCAAGTTCTGGCTGCCCAGGGAGGTTGTGGATGCCCCGTCCTTGGACGTGTTCAAGGCCAGGTTGGATGGGGTCCTGGGCAACCTGATCTGAATGTGCATGTTTGGTGGCCCTGCTAGGCAGGGGGGTTGGAACTACATGATCCTTGAGGTCCCTTCCAACCCGGGTGATTCTGTGTGTGATTCTGTGTGTGATTCTGTGTGTGATTCTTGCACTTTTTTTTAAATCCTCCCTCCATCACACTTGAGTGAGTGAAGGGCTGTGTGTTGCTTAGCTGCCTGCCAAGTTCAACCACAACATCCATGCTAATCATGAATTATCAGGACCTACAAATTCTGCCTGTCTTGTTAGCAAAAGTGGAAATGCACGGAGGACAGTCAGGACATAAAAGTTACTGTGTCTAACCAAATACACCTAGATTTTTATACTTCTGTGTTTTTGCAGAAGAATCTGCCAAATCCTTCTGTAGTAAAGCTATTCTTTGAGAGTTACTGGACAAACAAGTAGGAGACTAAAAAATTGTAGGCAAACACCAAATATTTCAAAGAATTAAAAAAAAAAAAAAAAACAAAAACTACCCTAACAAACTATTCTATACTTATTTCTCAAGATAAAAGAAGTACTTAAAATGAAAGCATGGCATGGGCTACATGCATTATTGACCTAGTCACCAAGTTGGGCTTCATCCTTTCTGTGTAGGTGTGAAAGATTCCCTACTCCACATTAGTATCTTTCGCTAAGATCAGTGGACAACTTGAACTGTAAAATTAGTTTTTATTATTATACTGTATTTTAATGAGTTTTATTATCATATTTGGGATTGTGTTGACAAACACAGGATAACTCCATCAGCCTCATATAACTTCATGTTTAAAACACATTTTGTTTTCATTGGATTTCATATGATTATTTAAGATTATCACACAAGAATGTATGTATTTGAATGATGAAATATTAAGTAGATGACTGAAAAATTACTCAGCTTTTTTGTTTGTTTGTTTGTTTGGATCTATACAATTCTCAGTGTCATTAGAAGAAAATCTGCTTTCAGATACACATGGCTAGAACAAAGACATTTTAATAAGGTATAATTTTCCAGTGGATTTCATTGAGAATATTTATTTTCTAATTTTTTGTCAAAGTCAACCTTAGCTGCAGCTCAACAATTAATCTATGTATTCACTTTCTAAGTATTCTTACCATTCCTTTTGACTTGTTGCTGATCACTTGCATATGTCAATTGTTCTTTTTATAAAAACCAAACATCTGCTTTCAATTTTATTTTTGTATCTAAAGTTTTATGTAAGCATTAACCAATTCATTGGAAATTGAGTTCACATATAAATGTGGACTAACAAAGCTGCTACAGAGTTACATTTTCATTAATCTTTCTGTTATGGGCTTACTGGGAAAGCTCAGAAAACCACGACACAACCAGTAAAAAAATATTTTTTCATCAGAAGTATTCAATGTAATTAATTGTAAATCCACACCTCTGTTCCTGTGCAAGCAATCTAGATTTTGGCATTCGGACATATACCACATACACCCCATACACCTCACAATCCCCAAACCCATAACTCTGCAAACTATGTCAGTGACAGTGTAGCTCTGAAAATTGTTCTGTCTGCAAATGATCGTGAGATTTTACCAGAGACAAGTGAATATGAAACATGTAGATATCAGAATGGAGACAGGTGCACTAAAATAAGCAACTTTGAATGCAAATTGCCAGCTTCTTTAAAGGCACTTTGTTGCTCATCAGTGGTAAACATTTGTGAATATATTTGTTTTCCTATGTTCTAAGATCAGTAAAAATCTACAGCAGTTATGTTAAATATACTTCATATCTACTGAAATGATAATCTATGGCAAGTATATTTAATTGCTGTTTAGAGAATAAAACAGGTAGGACTTGCTTTGTACCTTGAGAAATAGTTTTTGTTTCTGCACTATTGCTTTTTTTTTTTTTCACAAGAGCAAGTAGAACAGCGATACTAGATAAAAAAAAGAAGGAAATGATTAAGTGGTTTCAGAAGAGTTCATAAAATTTTTTTTAAAGACTTAACATGTGGAAAGAATGGAAGATTTATGACTGGTCTACACGCTGACTATTTAATTCCCACTTCTGAGAAAGTTAAGAATGAGTAAGGCATATGCCTCTGAGAACACACTAGCTACATTCAAATCTTTCGAGGACCTTTTAAGTGAGACATTTATTTAAATGTTTGTCTTCAAATATTTGTACAGTTCTGCTCTCCCTATCCAAGAAGTCAACTATCTTTAGTGTGCTTCGTTGCAATCAGCAGGGCTAGGATCTCAAAGAAAGTCAAGAAGAGAAAATGAATCTTTATTAAATATTATTTAATTTCTTTGGTAAATGATCATTCTACTCTAGATTAGACATATTAAGGAATCTGGCTTCATGATGAAACAGGAATCAACCCATATGCCCCTACACATTTTGTAATTGAGGCAGCTCAGTGGATCCCAAGAACAGCTGGCTATCTTTTCTTGAAGTTGTGTGGTAAGGTTCCTAATTTCAATGTAGGTTGTTTGTATCCTATGTAACATTGAATTTCTTGAATAAATGTTGTGGTTCAAATAACAGTCTGCCCTTTGCTATTGAATCTGATTTGGTTTAGTCTTCATTTCTATTGCTCTTAAATATTTACTACAGTACTTACAGAGAAATGTGATGTCTTCTCTATGGACATCCAAATGCCATTATTACTCTTAGTACAAGATGATTGAAGTCTCATCATGATTTGTTTTTCCAAATTTATTTGAATGAATGAGTGTCTTTAATCTTCTGAAATTTCAAAATGTAGCCTTTAGCATTTTTCACCAGATTCACATACCAGCAATTTAGTTTTTATGTCCCTATAGGATGATCATTCTACATCCTTTCTCTTCTTCAGCTCCACAGAAATTCAAAGCCAGAAATATATTTTTCACAATGAGAACCAAATGCTGGCTTATACAGCTAATTTTGGAAAAAAAATTCTAGCCCTACTCGTAAGAGGAAGAGTGAGCCTCCATCTCTTCTGTTTGAGAAGTCTGAGTTGTCTGCTGCAAGGCAACCCTGGTTTGTAAGATCAGTAACAAACATTCTCAAATTTGATAGTGCAGAAAAAACATTGCTCCTGAATCTTCACAGAAGTGTTACACATTCTTCCTGTTTGTCATATCTAGGAGCTGTGTTCCTGTGTGTGTTTACAAGGTGTTATGTTTTTTTGTTGATGATATATCTTTTTCCTAGTCTGGGTCCTATCTGGACAGTGATAAATTCAGTAAGGGATCTTATTATGTCATTAAAATTCATTGATGGAATATGTAGAGCTAGATCCGATATATTAAAGATAAGAACATCTTGGGGCATCTGCTTTCCTCTTTCCTTCCAATTAGCCTAATTATTGTGACACTATAAAGACTCCTGCATAACAGAAAATTGTAAACATTTTCTTAATTTATAAACAGTTCTTATTTAATTCTAAGTTATGCATATCAATACACGTCACTATTACTATAACTATTCTTTTCCAAAGTTTTTGTCAAAATTAAAAGCTTTCCTAATAGGAAAAAAAGAAGGAAAAACTTAAGCACACCATTAATTTAAAAGTAAATTACAGTGACACCGTAAACAAATAGTAGGTTTGCTGTCCACATACTTACTTGTGACCCATCTCATGGGCAATGGTAAAAGCAAGATTCAGACCATTGTCCTCTGCAATAATACATTTTCGTTTTTCACTGCACATTCCACTCAGATATGCTATACCTAGGAAACATAATCACCATATTCAATTATTTTAATTATTAATAAACATCTATATTAAGGCATTACAACCTGAAGCAGGTCTGAAATCTCACTGTGGTCAGAGCAATCAAATTATATATACAGGTAATTGAAAAACAAACAGATAGCTTTTGAGTTACAACAGCTGATGATAGCACAAAAATAAATAAAATGTATTAAAAAAATCACAAACAACAGCAGGATTAGCTGACAGTAATACAGCCTGATCGTATAGACTGCAGTGTGCAGAAAATGTTTTGTTTACAAGCATTACTTTAATAAAACATGACAGAAAACAAGTATGGATATTGATGTGTAAAATAGAGAAAAACAGGAACTGGTATTTTCTCTAACAGATTATGAAGTAAGGATGCAAAACACAGAACATCGCACCTAAATTATCACTGTTAAGTATCAACATAATGTAGAATGTTCACTTAGAACTGCAAAATAATCAGATGCTGAAGAACTAGTAAAATTCATACACACTTAAAGTTTATGTATTTATTTATTGTACTAACATTTAAGTTTTCAAGAAGTAGAAGTCTAAAACAGTATTTTGAATATATGTTCTATTTCTAAAAACTACAGTCTATAATTTTAAAAGCTTGATCAACATGAAGCTTAATTTGTGTAATATGCAATGGTCATTTTTCTCAGGCCATAAATACATTTAGTGGGAACTCACTGTCATTTTCATTGCTTGAAGTTTCAGGGAAAAGAATCAAAATCCTGTTTCAAGTGTTTGGCCTGCTTCTTGGGAACATCCTTGTGATGGAATGGTGCCTTCACGATTAACGTGTTGCTGGGTGTTTGCACATAAACGTCAAGCTTGAAATGTTTGACAGTGTTTGAAATTTAGTCATAATTAGTATTCTAAGTTAATAAAATGAAAGTCATTCTTCTTATAATCCAAGTAATTAAATTAATCAGTATCTAAACACTGCCCTTCATCCACAATGTGAAATTCGAGTAGTGCCTCCAACACAAATCTTGCAGTGGTGTTCTCAGTTGAGCTGATTAGAGGTTTTTGGACAAAGTGCTCCTATGACAAAAGTGCTGTTGAGGTTTGGCCAAAACAATCACAAATTAGCTTTGAATGCAGCAGAATAGTTCAGCTTTTACTATATCTTTCCAAAGAAAGTAGAAAAAATGAAATAGGGGTAAAAGAAATTTCGTCTGCAAAAAATAGCAAAACATGATCAAAGGGAAAAAGAAAAAAAAAAAGTTCTTCCAGCAATGTCTCATGCTAAGTATAATTTCTATTATATCTACTGAAAGTAATGGAAGTAGTAACACTAATTTGTAATGCAGTATTTTGAGTGCTGTGCTCCAGCAGCTGAAACAAAAACAAGAGATAATTCCAAGACCATCTTGTGCCTCATAGCCACACAATTATGTTTTCTTTCAAGTTTTAATTAGCAAGCAGAAAAAGAACTGTTTTTAATGTTACAGCAAACAGAAAAAGAACTGTTTTTAATGTTACAGCTCTAAGTAGTAGAGATGACAACATCTGAAGAAGCATATAGCAGGGCTCTAACTTCAGCCAACACCAATTAAAACAAAACTGTAAAATTATTATCCTTAAACAAAATCCAGTGCTTGATATTAAATAGTTGTAACCATTCTTGTTACTACAGTGCATACTGTTGAGAAACACATTTCTCACTGACAATAGTTATACTCAGCTGGATAAAACTTATTTGTTGGAATATGAGAGCTATTCCAAAAGTAATGCCTCCTATTTGATAATGTTGGCCCACAACATCAGAGTTGGATGATGGTGGTATGGCAGTAGAGGCTGAACTTTCTCACCAATATCCCATTACATTTTGATGCTATGTGACAGATGACAGCAGAGGGACACTGACAACTTTGCATCTGACATGAAAGTCTGGATAAAGCAAAGGTGTGTCACTGAATTCCTCCATGTGGAAAAAATGGCACCCACTGACATTCATTGACATTTGATGAACATTTATGGAGAACAAACAGTGAATGTGTAAGCAGTGATGTGCTGGGTGGTGCATTTCAGCAGTGATGACAGCTACAGTGGTTCACTTCCTTCTGTGCAGAATTTACTAGCACGGAATGCAGGCTTTTGTTATCACTGGTGAAAACTCAGATCTAAAAGTAGTGACTACTTTGAATATTTTTTTTGTGGCTAAGAATTTGCTCTATTAATCAGTGTTATTGTGCTCTTTGTATCTGTTGTAATTTCCATTACAATAAATACAAGGCATTGCTTTCAGAGCACCTTATATATATGTGAAGAGAATTCCCAAATAAAAATCTGTTTGATGCTCACCAGTTTCGTACAGGGAGAAGAAGTCCCCTACTGTTTTTTTGGGCTCCTAAGAGGGACAGTCCAAGAACATTACCTGTATCTTCCCATACAACAACGTGTACTCTCACTTGCTATCCACTGCCTTGCCTCTCCTAAAAGCAGAATTCATTCTCAAAGAACAATATACATTGCAATATTTTTTCTGCAGAAGCAGTAGTATGTTCTAATAAGCATTTTCAACAATACCAAAAATATATGACCAAGACAGTTTGCATATATGACAATCTTTGAAAGAAAGTGATTACACTCGATCCTTTTAGATGCAACGTATGAAATAGAAGACCTGCATTTCATTTAGATTGAATTAGATTTTAGATCCTAGAAATTTCCAAAAACATCAAGTGCAAGGCTTGTTTTACGACTTTGCCCTTCTAAGAGACATCAGCTTTATACACGAAAGCCACATCAAACAGCAGCTACTAGATGTAAATCAGTGAAATAGTAACTGTGAACTGGTTTCATGTCTTGTTGCTGGTTAACAATTGCAAGTGCAGAAAGAAAGAAACTGACTTCAGCAAGTAGCTGATCTTGTTTACTTGTCTCTAGGTAAAAGAAAGAATTTCTTCTTTAAATATATGAATGTTCACTGTAGCTTCCTGTGGCTTATTAACACAGCTGGAAATGCTCCAAGGTTAAATACACAAGGAAAAAAAAGAAAAAGAAGAAGAAGAAATAAAGAACAATTGCTCCTTTGTCAAGATTAAACTACTCCCAGTGAACTCCAAGACTCAAAGGACAGCACAGTTTCAAGTTAAAACATTCAATATTCAAAAAGCATTGGCTAAAAAGCCAACATCATCTCACTCACAATTTAAGGAAAGAAACTGTTGTCTACCCATTAAGAAAGCTGTTCTCTGCAGTAGAAAAAAGTACTGCCTGGAGACACACCATATATAAAATATCAAAGTTACACCTCAGTGTAAGTAATTCTGTATTTATTTTTCATGCTAATTCAGAATATACAGAATATCTATTAAGAAAATAAGCTTTGCAGTTGTGCCCTACAAGAATTATATAAGTGACTGTGTTTTCTTTTCAAATGTGTAAAGATGTGAATAAAACAAATGTTGCTTCAAAGAACTGCCACACAAATCACATTACTAAGTATCTAAACAAATTCATCGATTCATGGATTGCTGTAGCAGAAATTCATAGCCTATAAAAAAGCCTAATGCTAGTGTTACCCAAAGGAATGAAAGTAGCTTAGTAAAAAAAAACATAATCATTTTAAGAAATAAGCAGACAAATACAAACATTGCTCTTTCTTACAGCCTTCATACAACATGCAAACATGACTTACTTATGTCCACATTTGTAGTGATGCATTTTTAAAGGGAAGAGAATTATTACTATTTCCAGCTGTAAAGTGATTCAGTGAATTTAGTATACTAAAAGTCTTAATGTTTCATATTTCTTATTTATATATCCTTCATTCTAAACTTCCTTGGTTTCATAACACATTCAAGTTGCTTGTTTCTTGCCATTGGATACATGCTCCTTTCAAGTCCCTTTTCTCGTAATTGCTCAAAATAAAACTGATCGTAAATTCTGTTGAAAGATATCCTTCCATGTACTACCAGTTAACTCCATTGATATCACCTGTACATACTCTCGTGCTACTTTACAGCTCTTCTGTTTTGGAAACTGTAATTTTCTGCCCATCATTTTTTTTTTTTCCTCCAAATTTTAAGTCATTAATAATTCATTAAAAATATAGAACAAAGCTCACATAAAAAATTCTCTGTATTAAGGGAAGAACGATAGGGAATCATCCCTTCATCCTTTCTTTTACTGATTGAGTTCAAATTCTACCTGAATTTCCAGTCTATATAGATTCAAAATTTTATAAAATACAAATACATACATTGTTTCCAACCCTTGAAAATACAAGCTGAAAGGACTGAAAAAGGCATATATTTGAATAGAACAATATATTTTTAAAAAGTTGTATTTCAATTTGAAAGTCTTTTACACAGAATGAGTATGTAGTATTCTGAGGAATTTAGAGATAGTATGTTCCTTGCCATGATAGCTATCAACCAATGAAAGCTGTCATATTTGACCAAGATGAAATGCAGCTAAATCGAATAGACTCCTTGTATCTTCTTCATTGTCACCTTGGTAAAATACCATAGATAACAATTACGATTGAATACACATTAAACGTATTTACAAGCAATTGAATCATAGCCACTCGGTTGGAAAAGACCTTAAAAATCATCAAGTCCAATCACAACCCAACCATACTACCCTACCTAACAACACTCCCCTAAATCATGTCCCTGAGCACCACATCCAAACAGTTTTTAAACACATCCAGGGATGGTGACTCAACCACCTCTCTGGAGAGCCTATTCCAGTGCTTAACAATCCTTTCTGTAAAGAAATGTTTCCTGATAACCAACATAAACTTAACCAGGCGCAACTTGAGGCCATTTCCCCTCGTCGTGTCACCTGTCACCAGTGAGAAGAGACCAACCCTGCTCTCGCTGCAATCACCTTTCAGGTATTGGAAGAGAACAAAAAGGTCTGCTCTCAGACTCCGTTTCCCCAGACTGAACAGCCCCAATTCCTTCAGTGTCTTCTCATAGGGCATATTCTCCAAACCCTTCACAAGCCTTGTAGCCCTTCTTTGGACCTGCTCCAGCAGCTCAATGTCCTTTCTCTATTGAGGTGCCCCAAACTGAACACAGTACTCAAGGTGAGGCCTCACCAATGCCGAGTACAGGGGCAGGATGACTTCCCTAGTCCTGATCACCACACCATTTCTGATACAAGCCAGGATGCCATCGGCCTTCTTGGCCACCTAGGCACACTGCTGGCTCATATTCAGCTGACTGTCCATCAGTACACCAAGGTCCCTTTCTGTCACGCAGCTTTCCAGCCGCTCCTCCCCAAGCCTGTAGGGTTGCCTGGGATTGCTGTGACCAAAATGCAGGACCCAACACTTAGCCCTATTGAAAGTCATACAGTTAACATTGGCCCATTGATCCAGTCTATCCAGGTCCCTCTGTAGTGCCTTTCTCCCCTCAGACAGATCAACACTCCCTCCCAACTTGGCGTTGTCTACAAACTTACTGAAGGTGCATTCAATCCCCTCACCAAGATCATTAATAAGGATGTTAAATAGAAGTGGCCCAAGTACCAAGCCTTGGGGGACACCACTCATGATTGGTCACCCACTGGATTTAAATCCACTGACCATAATTCCTTGGGCCCAGCCATCCAGCCAGTTTTTCACCCAGCAGAGCCCATCCAAAATGTGGGCAGCCAGCTTCTCCACAAGAATGTTGTGGAGGACAGTGTCGAAGGCTTTACTGAAGTCCATTTGGACTACATCGACAGTCTTACCTTCATCCACTAAGCAGGTCACTTTGTCATAGAACAAAATCAGGTTTGTCAAACAAACCATT